GGTCTGAGATGATCTATTTAACAGTTTAAAAAAAATAGCTTATAGTGGCTCTGATTTGAAGTGTACCAGTATGAGATACTGTATGTGACATTTGCATGTATTCACCAAATATCTTCACAAGGTGCAACATACAGTTAACTAACTGTAGTTAACTATTATTTATAATGTGAATTCTTCTCAAACAATACCTTTGTCTCAAATTTCTACACTCAAATGATGTCAGAGGGGTACAATATTCATTTTTTTTTAAAACAATTTCCATTGCCATTCCATGTTTTTAAATAACCCAATTTGCAATAATAATACCCAGTTAAACCCAGCTCAGCCTTCCCGATACTGCTTCAAAATTGCTTGTATATTGATTGTTTGATATTCTTTGAGTCCCTCTTTCCTCAATGTCCTGCATGCTATAAAATAATCATTATGCCATTCTTGCCACTTCCTTTTCTCTCTGTCCTGAGGCCTTGTTAAAGGGGTCATATGATGTTGCTAAAAAGAACATTATTTTGTGTATTTGGTGTAATGAAATGTGTTTATGCGGTTTAAGGTTCAAAAAACACATTATTTTCCACATACTGTACATTACTGTTTTTCCTCTATGCCCCGCCTTTCTGAAACGCATCGATTTTTACAAAGCTCATCGGTCTGAAAAGCAAGGTGTGCTGTGATTGGCCAGCTATCCAGTGCGTTATGATTGGCCGAATACCTCAAGCATGTGCCGGAAATGTTACGCCCCTTACCATACTGTGATGATGCCCTCTCAGGCCAAAAACATGAAAACCCATTATAAACGAGGCATTATTTGCATCCAGTGGGGACATAATTATGGATTATAATGACTTATACTGTCTTGATTTCTTATTTTTTTGCATATTTGTCACACTTTAATGTTTCAGATCATCAAACAAATTTAAGCATTGGTCAAAGATAACACAAGTAAACACAAACATGCAGTTTTTAAATGAAGGTTTTTATTATTAAGGGAAAACAAAATCCAAAACTACATGGCCCAGTGTGAAGAAGTATTTGCCCCCCTGTTAAAACTGTGGTTTAACACACCTTAGTTCAATTTCTCTAGCCACACCCAGGCCTGATTACTGCCACACCTGTTCGCAATCAAGAAATCTCTTAAATAGGACCTGCCTGACAAAGTGAAGTAGACCAAAAGATCCTCCAAAGCTAGACATCATGCCGAGATCCAAAGAAATTCAGAAACAAATGAGAAA